TCTGTGAGGACATACGTTCTCATTTCTGTTGGGTATATATCTAGGAGTGGAAATGCTAGGTCATGTGGTAACTATTTGTTTAACCATACTGTTTTCCAAAGTGGTTGCACCATTTTACATTCCCACCAGCAATGTACAGGAGTTCTAATTTCTTCACATCTTCACCAACACTTATTTTTTATTTCAGCTGTGAAGTGGTATCTCATTGTGGCTTTGACTTGCATTTTGCCAATTACTAATGATATCAAGCAACTTTTCATGTGCTTGTCATTCATGTATCTTCTCTGAATTAATATTTATTCAAATACTTTGTCCATTTCAACATTGGGCTGTCTTCCTATTGTTTTAAGTTTTTATATATTCTGAATACTATACTCTTATCAGATATATAATTTGCAAATATTTTCTCCCAGGAATGGGACCTCTTATAACTTTGGAAAAACTTTTGCTAAAGATTTAACACCTGCTAATGCTGAATATACACATAGCCTTTGAATCCAGCAATCCATGTCTACATATACACCCAACAGAGAGAACATGTTTTCCACAAGACACATTCAAGACTGTTCATAACAACACAATTAGTAACAGCAATTGGAAAACTGAAACCACCCAAACATCTTGTGGTAGGTTGACTATTGGCCCCCCAAGGATGTCCACATCCTAATCCCTGGAACCTGTGAATGCTACCTTACTTGGCAAAGGGACTCTGCAGGTGTGATTAGGATTTTGAGAGGGGGAAATTAGACTTTGGGATGCTGGTACACCAAGTAAGGAGTTTGGAAGTCATCTCTCCATCCTAACAAGTAAAAAGCTGAACTGAAAAATCAACAATTCTTCTTAGATCTGTCAGAGAAGTGAGGTCACAGGGCCAACTGCAGTCCTCCATATTGGAGAGGCAGGCAGGTGGACACAGAGAACCACAACTTACTGAAGCAGAAACTTCCAAGCAGAAACCTCTAAGGGAGACAGTGCTGGGGTAAGCAAGCTGGAACTGTAACTGACAAATTGCTGGAGGTTCAGAGTGGACAAGTCTGTGAGTTAAAAACCCCCAGTTAGAAGGGGATCCCCACTGCTTTGTGAGTTTTACCTCCTGGAGCCCTACCAGGGTCTCAAAGGGAAAATCAGAGAAAAATCCCCTGGTGCTTCCAGTAGGGGAAGGAAGAAAGTAACCATTTTGAAATAAGTCAGAGTATTCTGTTCTTAACAAGGCCTGTCCTTAAGAGAAGCCATTTTATCAGAGCCTCCTCAATTGGGGTTTATCAGAGCCTAAACAACCTGGTAGAAGGGAAATACCCAACTCCAGCTCCCTCTAGCCATCCTGTCTCACCTATGGTGTGTAAGGGGGCAGGGGGGATGGAGAAGCACTTATGAAGTTCACAGCCCAGGGACACAGGTTCACTGAGACCTAATCATAGGACTACAGAATGCCTCCCCTCCCCCACACCTCACCACCACAGTGCTAAAAGGTCTATTCACTGGAGTTCCTTTCACCTAGTACATCATGTCCAGCTATCAACAGAAAGTTACAAGGCATAAGTAAAAGGCAAGATAAAACACAGTTTGAAGAGATAGAGCAAGCATCAGATTCAGACACGGCAGAGATGTTGGAATTATCAGACCATGAATTTAAAACAACTCTGATTAATATGTTAAGGGCTTTAACAGAAAAAGTAGACACACCAAAACAGATTGCTAAAGTAAGCAGAGAGATGGAAATTCTAAGAAATAATTCTTTTTTAAAGGTCTAAAGAGACTAAAAAAAAAACTAACAAATGATGAATGCTTTCCATGGGTTCATTAGTTGATTAGACATGGCTAAGGAAAGCATCTCTGAGCTGGAGGACCTGTCAACGCAAACTTCCAAAACTAAGAAGCAAAGAGAAAAAAGACTGGGGAAGAAAAGAGGGAACAGAATACCCAACAACTGTGAGACAACGACAAAAGTTGTAACATATACATGAAAATGCCTGAGAGAAGACAGAAAATGACAGAAAAAGTTATGTGAAGCAATAATGACCGAGAATTTCCCCCAAGTTAATGTCAGATACTAAACCACAGATCCAGGAAGTTCAGAGAACACTAAGGATAACCACCCCCCAAAAAAAACTACACCTAGGCATATCATATTCAAACTGCATAAAATCAAAGACTTAAAAAATCTTAAAAGCCAAAGGGAAAAAACACCTATGGAGGAGCAAAGGTTAAGAATAACATCCAATTTCTTTACAGAAACCATGCAAGCAAGAAGAGTGACGTGCTGAGGAAGCTTATACTGGATTACTCACGTGGGCCAAAGTTTAATCCCATGGATCCTGATACGCGGGAAGCAGCAGGGTCAGAGTGAGAAGCAATGTGATGGAAGCAGAGAGTAGAAGATGCTATGCTGTTGGCTTTGAAGATGGAGAGGGGGCCAGGAACCAAGGAATTCAGGCAGCCTCTAGAAGCTGGAAAGGAAGGAAACAGATGCTCCCTGGAGCCTCCAAAAGAAATCAGCCCTGCTTACAGTTTAATTTAACCTAGTACAGCTGATTTTGGACTTCTGACCTCGAGAATGGTATGGTAATAAATCTGTATTAAGCCACTAAAATTTGGTAAATTGTGGGCTTCCCTGGTGGCACAGTGGTTGAGAATCTGCCTTCTAATGCAGGGGACACGGGTTCGAGCCCCGTGTTATTTGCACAATGAAATACTATGGTGCAGTGAGAATGGATAACTACTGCTATAGGCAACAAAATGGAGGAACCACAGAATACTAAGAAGCCTGACACAAAAGAATATAAATGTAAGATTCCATTTATATAAAGCTTAAAAATAGTAAAACTTATCTACAGCTTTGGAAGAAAGGGCAGTAGTTACTTGGTGGGTAGGAGGACTGACAAGGGGCACAAGGGAAGCAGCTGGGGTGCAAATAACACCGTCTTTCTTGATCCTGGTGCTGGTTATATGTGGTCACTTTGTGGTATTTCAAACCATACACCTGTAACTTGTACACTTTTCTGTACTGTATACTTCAATAAAAAGTGCTAAAAAAACAAACAAAAAAGATTAAGTAGTTTAAAAACTAATTTCCTTGCAAAAACAGGGGCAGGGCTTCCCTGGTGGCACAGTGGTTGAGAGTCCGCCTGCTGATGCAGGTGACACGGGTTCGAGCCCCGGTCCGGGAAGATCCCACATGCCGCAGAGCAGCTAGGCCCGTGAGCCATGGCCGCTGAGCCTGCGCATCCAGAGCCTGTGCTCTGCAATGGGAGAGGCCACAACGGGAGAGGCCACAACAGTGAGAGGCCCGTGTACCGCAAAAAAAAAAAAAAAAGGGACAAAAATAGGTTTAAACACAGTAAACACAAGATTTTTGATTAGTTAAAACTGAATCCCATATAAAGTGAACAATTACAATTACTTCAGGTAACAATGTAATTCTGAGGATTTTCTAGTACATCTCCAATGTTACACAGAAAAAAAACATGAGTTGGTCTAGACATGCAAACACAGGAGACATACCAAAATATACCATAATGCACAGTCTGCAATTCTCTTCATTAGTTTCACTTACTTCATCAAGTACTACTAGTTTAGAAAAACTGGTCTTTACAACACCCGGACTGCAGAACCCCTTCCGGACTGAAGATTTTATCAATGGCATTTTTCATCTCATATTTTATTAAACAAAATGTTTTTGCAAATTAATTTTTCCATGCCCACAAACATCCTAAGTTTTTCCCACACTGAAACAAATTATAACCCTCTCGTATATTTTTAGTATTTACATTCAACCATTAGGAGCCAAATACTATTATAAAACCAAACAGAGGGCTTCCCTGGTGGCGCAGTGCTTGAGAGTCCGCCTGCCGATGCAGGAGACGCGGGTTCGTGCCCCGTTTCGGGAAGATCCCACATGCCGCGGAGCGGCTGGGCCCGTGAGCCATGGCCACTGAGCCTGCGCGTCCGGAGCCTGTGCTCCGCAAATGGGAGAGGCCACAACAGTGAGAGGCCCGCATAACACCAGGAAAAAAAAAAAAAAAAAAAAAAAACCAAACAGATATTAAAGTTCTAATGAAAGAATTACGTTTGATAGTAGAGGTACTGTCCTCAAATATTTTGTTGAAAAAAAAATCTTTGGAATATATATTTTAAAGTTATAACAAAGACCAATGTAAAGGGTAGTAGCCATTGTCCCCCAATTATCTGAAATTACACAATAGGTCAAATGTTCATGTGTTCTTTAGTTGAACTTCAGTAGGAAAATCAAACTGTTCTCATGAATGTTCCAAAACAAGCACTGAAATCTGAGTATTGAAAAGGTGGAACTATTACCAGGTGATCTCACCTGTAAGGGAGGAGCTATGTTTCAGTGCACTTGCCAAACTTTTAGAACAGCTTCTATCCATTAAATAATGATAAAAGGCTCTATTTTTTCTACTAGGAATGCTGATGTAAGATTCTGTAGTTCAAGACATGTTTATGGGGAAGATGTACTGATCAAGGTAAATTCCTTTGACAAGGCAGTGAATCTCATGTACTCGTCTCTTAGAAAGAAGATCAGAAAGCTTAATAATCCTATTAAGTCAAACACTTTAAAATACTAACAAATCTTATTCATTATATGATAAATACAAATTTAAATATAAGAGAATGCAACAAGTTATTTGAACCTGAATGCAGAGAATAAATACTTTATTAACTGATTATAGTTGAAAGTCACAAACAAAAAAGGGGTATATTAAGGCAGAGCCATATATATATATATCAATATATATATAGATATATATATAGATATATATGTAGATATATATATATATAGACAAATCCAAAGACTGTTATCTCTTTACATTTTAACAACCTCTGCATTTTTCTTTTACACATTTAGGCAGTGTGCTTTCTTTTCTTCTCAGTTAAAGAAACAAATCTTGACCAATATTTCTAAATCATATTTTGATGACAATTTACAGGATCATGGATTGAGACAATGACTAGTGTATCAAATGCTATCTGATCATTTTCTCAGCATATTCCATGTGTGGTGGTATATTTACGTTGGTGTGGAAAATCTGACAACTGATCATCTTCTTTTCCAGTAAAACTAACACATAATTTTTTTAAACGATTTTTTAATAGTCTTAACTAAAATAAGTTTGGACTTCCTTCCAAGTAAGTCGAATGCCCAAAGCATATTATTTTCTGCCCTTCTCAAACCCTCCTATATGTTTTAAGTAGCCTTTAGAATATGATCACATGGCTGTATTTCAGATCTATAAATTTGAGTTTTTCAAAATCCAAAATTACTTCCTTACGCAAAGTGGCAATGCAAACAGCAATCCTACATAGTGTAGAATAATTTTTCTTCTCTATACTTCCCTTTTATAAAATGAACAACCACATACACAAAAAAGACATGAATTTATTAGTCCATCTGAAAAAGCACTCCAGCTCCCTAATTCCACTTTTGAAGGAGAAGGCAGAGGCAAGTTTACATTATCCCAGAAAACTGAATAAATGGCTTTATTTGGTATCTTCAAGAAGCTTCTCCTTCTGTAGGAGATGTGGGTGTTGTAGGAGAAGCTGTAACTGGTTTTCGTGCAATTCTGTCTAGTTCCGCGTGAACATCTGATAGGACAGGCTTCTGGCCTATTTAAAGGAAAAGAAACCAAGATTTAGGCATAAGTCAAAATATCCTTAACACCAATGTGTCTTCATTTAACAAATGCCAACAGTTTCATTAACTTTATCTAAAACACAGTTATATAAACATCCTTAATTTAAAAATAAATTCCTTTTTTTTTTTTTTTTCTTTTTTGGCTTCACCACACAACATGCAGGATCTTAGTTCCCTGACTAGGGAACGAACCTGCACCCCCTGCAGTGGAAGCACAGTCTTAACCACTGGACCACCAGGGAAGCCCCTAAATTCCCTCATTTTAAATTGTGGGGTCTGTTATCAAATAGAAGTAAAACTAGCACCTACCATTTAATCTCATAAAGGTATACTTTTTTAAAGGCATAGAATAAGAACAGTAAAAGAGAAAAATAGCAACAAAACTTCGGAATCTGGAAAGATGAGTGAGTGGTAATTAAATCAGCAGTACTGAGAAAGGTAATCTTCAACACTGAGAATGTGAGAAGCCAGAACATATTTCAATTTATACCCAGAAACCTGTAAAATGTTCCAAAGTGGTAGCTGCAGGTACTTGTGAAAAAGGTGGTAAGAAGGTGTGATTAAAAAAGGAGAATGGGGGCTTCCCTGGTGGCGCAGTGGTTGAGAGTCCGCCTGCCGACGCAGGGGATGCAAGTTCATGCCCCGGTCCGGGAAGATCCCATGTGCCGCGGAGCAGCTAGGCCCATGAGCCATGGCCGCTGAGCCTGTACGTCCGGAGCCTGTGCTCCGCAACGGGAGAGGCCACAACAGTGAGAGGCCCGCGTACCGTATTTCTGAGTCCATTTCCTTGTCTATAAAATGAAGATAAACAACCTTGGTCTTGATTGCTTCCTTCAGAGTGATACTATAGGGATTAGTAAGATTATAAAATGAAAGTTTCTTGAAAAATGAAAAGGATTATTATAACCTTTATTGCAATATCTATGTGTTACTTACATGTTAGAAGTTCCAATAAAGAAAAAGTCTGCTTGAAGAGCAATTATAAAAACAACAAAAAGAAAAAGACTTCATCAAAATTGAAGTTTTGTGCTTCACAGGACACTCAAGAAAGTGAAGGGATAAACAACACAAGGGGAGAAAACATTTGCAAATTCTGTATCTGATAAGGTCTAGTAAAGAGCATATATAAAAAACACTTAGAACTCAACAATAAGAAATAAACTGATTTTAAAATGGGCAAAGGATTTGAATAGACATTTCACCAAAGAAGATATACAAATGGTTATTAAACACATGAAAAGATTCTCAACATAATTAGCTATCAGGGAAATGCAAATCAAAACCACAATGAGATACAACTTCACAGCCAAAATGATGGCTCTAACCAAAAAGATGGACAAGTGGTGATCATTTTATAATGTATAAAAATATCAAATCATTATGTTGTACACCTGAAACTAATACAGCATTGTAAATCAATTATATTTCAATTAAAACACACACACAAATAGACATTTTGGACTTGGTTAAGCAAAACCAAAAGAAACAAAACAACTAAAACACAAAGATGAACAATAACAACTTTCGGAAGCGATGGGGAAATACTGGGGCCCTCATAAACTGCTGGTGGGAATGTAGAATGGTATAGCATTTTGGAAAACACTTTGGCAGTTCTTTAAAAATTTAAACATAGAGTTACCACATGACCCAGCAATTCCACTCTTAGATATATACCCAAGAGAAATGAAAACATATGTCCATCAACTGATAAATGGATAAATAAAATATGTATGCATATCTATACAATGGAATTTTTTAAGCAGTAAAAAAAACCAAAATATTGATACATATGCTACAACATGGATGAATCTCGGAAACATTATTTTAAAGAAGGCATATACTTTATGACTCCATTTATATGAAATCTCCAGAGAGGCAAATACAAAGAGACAGAGAACATTGTTTGTTGCCTAGGAGGACTTCAGGGGAGGGAAGAATAACTGCTAATAGGCTGGACGTTAGGCAAGGATAACTGCTAATAGGTTGGATGTTTCTTTTTAGGGAGAAGAAAATGTTCTAAAATTAGATTATGGTAATGGTTTACGTATGTCTGTAAATATACTAAGAATTGTACACTTTAAATGAGCAAAGTTCATGGTATGTAAATTATATCTCAATAAAGCTGTTTAAAAAAAAAAAAAAGCTCCAGGTAACTATACCTGACTTTTTGGCAGATGCTGGTAAACCACTGCTTCCACCTCCAGCCCCACCTCCAGGGCTACCACCACCAACACCAGGGCCTCCTGGGGAACCAGTCTTTTTACTCAGCAAACTATTGAAGAAATTTGCCAGGACACCTTCACTTGTAGCTCCAGCTATTATAAAAAAAAAGGTAAGATAAAAAAACTTGTACTCAAAGCATTCAACTTTTCTATAAATTATTGTAGAATTATACACAGAAAATATTCCAAATTCAAGTTTAATCTTTTGAGGCTGGGTAACTTCTCTAATCTACTCATATATAAAACAAAATATGAGTGTTAAGAGTGTAAGATAATTATTAAAAAATTAGAGTGTTATTTTTAAAAGGCAAAAGGCATTTAAAACAGATTGTTAGATGCAAATATATCTCTCTTTTGAAAGGCATTCTTCAAAAATATAACTGTTGAGAAATACTTGCTTCAAGTATTACAAAAAGTTACCCAATGCTATATGAAAACCAATAGAAGTTCTAAGATATTAATGGGCAAAGGATAGCAATAAACAATTCACAGAAGAAAAATACAAACAGAAAGGAAACACTGGGGGAAAAGCTCTTATTAGTTAGTACTTAGAGAATGCTGATTAGGTTGTGGGCAAACTGCAGCACTCAATGTTGATGACATGTAAATTGAAGAATCCATTTGAGAAACATCACCAAAAGGCATAAAAAGGTACAAACTCTCACCTACTAATCCCACTTATGGCAATTATTCCTATAGAAATAACTATAATGCACACAGTTTTTTCCTTTATGTTAACTGCAGATAACCCATTATAGGAAAAACATGAATTTCTTCAATGACCTACCATAGCAGAATGATTAAATATAACACAAAGCTTTCATAAAGCTCACAGCACAGAGGTGATATGTTAAGACTACACCGTAAAATGGTTCACAGTCTGATTAACTATGAGATTCTATTGACAGACACAAAGATTAGAAGCTATTGAATAAAAATGAAAATAGCTAAAACAAAAGGTGGAAAGACTCTAGGTAGATTTCTATTGTCAAATGTATTGTGTTGCTTTCTCTAAGAAAGAGAGAAATGTACCTTTCATGTTTGGATCAATTTTTTTTGACCCAGCAGGGATGGGTGACACACTGGCAACATTGGATGACACAGATCTGTTTGGTGTTCGAGGGGAGCCTCCTGGGACTCTTGGCGAGGCATCCTAAGTAAAAATAGGAAAGTCATAATTACAAAAGCCCGAAACTTTCAACTTCACAGAAATTATCACAAAAAGAAACTATTTTGCATCTGTCCCCCATATCTTCTACTGGTCCCTTTATGCTGCAAGCCCTGGGCAGAAGTGGTTAGCAATTGTGCCCTCATTATTAGAATACCAGAGACCCATTGCATTTTAGAATACTATCTTTCCCTTCAACGGAAAAAGAAGAACATATTGAATATGAGGTGTGGTTACGAGTATAAGCTTGGGAGTCAGATCTGGACTCCAATCTGGACTTGCATCCCATCCCACCAGCTGTAAAATCTCAGGCAAGCCATGATGTCCTCCAAAGCCTCCATTTCCCCATTTCCCCTGCCTCATCTGGCTGTTGTGAGGACTTATAAAATAGCACATATAAATGGTTTGGCACAGTAACTCACGTGGGACAAATGTTGCCAAATAGATATTTATGATTTCAATATTCTAAACGGGAGTGAAGTTTTATCTTTTAAAATCTCACAAATTCCAGGAGAATCCTTAATTCAAGTTTATATCAAAGCATACCCATTTGAGACAGGTATATAATTAAGAAAAAACAACTAAAACAATATGCACTGCATTTTAATAATTTTGTCAAAATCTGTAATACTGACCACAGGCCTTCCAGCTGCAGTTGGTGGTTGCTTTGCTAAAAGGGACTGAAAAACACACAAAAACTCTAGGTTAGATATTCAGGCATGTACTGCTGTATTTTTAAAGAAAATATGTACAAGAATAGTTTAACCATTAATCATACTAAGTCTGTTTCTGATGTAATTTCATACCTGTAGCTTCATAAGAAACACTTGGTCATCTTCTGCCACAATTTCCTTCTCATGCACAAACTGAAATGAGCAACGCATAAACGAGCAAGTCGCATATATTATGTTAATGTCGTTCACAACTTACTCTCTAGATTAGAATAATTTTTTAAAAAAACACCAAGAATATGAACATTACCTAAACCATATTTACATGGGTGAGCTGCCCTCCCCAAGGCCCTACAGCAGAGTTGTCCCTGATACCTACCTGCAATAATATAAATATCCTATATCTGTGCTGTGCAATACGTTAGCCTGTGGCTACTGAGCAGCTGAAATGTGGCTACTGTAACTGAGAAACTGAATTTTTAATTTTATTTAGTTGTACTTAATTTATATTTAAAAGCTGTATGTGACTAGTAGCTATTGTATTGGACAGCACAACCTGAGAGCCACAGGCATATCAATCATGCTTATAAAATCTGCTAAGCAACAGTTAGGTGTTTTAAAAGGGCCAATAATATCCCAGCTGAGTGAAAATCAACTTGTCCCTGGTTTCCCTGAAATAAAAACATAATGCCTCTTCTACCTGCTGAATGATTAGAAAAAAAGGAGGTGCAAATGTCTCCTGCTCCTCCTATTTCTGTACAAGGCACGCCATAGTCTATTTTCCACCCAGTAGCCAGAGCGATCCTTTGAAAGGTTAGGTCAGATTATATCACTCCTCTGCTCAAACTCGCCCCCCCACCCCCTTCACTTTCCATCCCACTCAGCATGAAATCCAAAGTCCTGACTGCGGCCTAATGATGAGGCCTTTCTCTCCTACCACTCTGGCCCTCTGGGGCTCTTTTCCAGCCTCTCTGGCCCCCTCACACACTCCTGCCTCAGGGCATGTGCATTTCCTGCTCCCTGTGCCTTCAACATTCTCCCCTCTCATCAGAGACATGCCCTCATCATTTCTAAAACTGCAGCCCTCCCCACCTCGGTCCTCTCACTCACCCTTCCCTCACTCGGCTTCATTTCCATAGCATTGATCACCACTTGAGAGATGGCATATATACTGATTCACTACTGCATCACCCTCCTATTCAGCACCTAGTGCCTAAACAGTGGCTCAATAAATATTTGCAAAATGAATAAAAGACAACTTAAAGCACAATTTTGCTGGTAAAAGAGAGAATGGGAAAAATTGGTATTTTTTTTTGATGTGTACATTTCTTTTAACAGACATCCAAACCAAGTAACACACCAACTGATTTTTCATTTAACATTCCTTTTCTTATTTCTAACTACTCAATGTAAATATTTGGGTTTTTAATTAAGAACTTTATTATATGTTAAATCAAAATTACTTTTTCCCGAAACATGTTCAAATTAGCCAGTGAGAAGTACTACATGCAAACACTCATTTTTATACAACTTTTCATAAGCATCTATACTATCTAACCATAAAACACCATATACTGCTTAGCAAAGTCGAGATACATAAAAGAAGAATACCTTCTGAAACGAGATTTAATAGTTATAAGAATGACATGTAACAGTAAAGACTAAAATTAAATCTAGGAACCTGGCAGCCCCTGGACAGCTGTGGGCTAGTATGAATAACTAATGACCATGAAGATGCAAGATCTGCCTAGACAGACAGAAGCCAACATAATTATTCTAACAAGGTGTTCTTGGCTTTTGGTTGAGCTCTAGGTTGTAAAGTACACAACTTGATAAAAAAGGACCCCCTTACCTTTCTACCTACAATCTTAAAATTATGGACTTCCCCCTCAGTTTAAAAGCCTAAATATTAAGACTATATACTAAAACTGTTACCTTTCGGACAGGTGGTTTAGTTATGATGTCTTCAAAATTATCTTCTGCTTTTAACATTTGAAAATTTTCATGTAATATTCCTATCTTCTTATCATTATCCCACCCTGCTGGACTAGAAAGAAATGCACATGACAAATTCTCAAGCATTTATATAGTCATCCTTTCATTTCAATCCATGATCGTATTAAGGGGAATATTTTTATGAAGTTAAATTTGACCAATTATGGAAAATTAATCAGTTTTATTATAGTGTTCAAGTTTACTAATTTCTACTTAAAATTATTATCAATCTTCCTGATTTTAAAACTGTCATTACAGGTTTTTTGGGGAGAAGGTGGTAATTATTTTTACCTCCCTATTTATTCAGATAACTTTTCAAAGCATGTCTAGATTATACATTGGGTCCTTTATGTATCATAACCAATTAGTTAGTAGATACATTGATATATGCACCCAACAGATAATTTAGTTATAATAGCAAGCCTTTCAAAAGGGTTCAGGCCAGCAGTAAAACTAAAAGGCAAAGATAAATAAATCAAGGCAGGTTATAAATAAAACAATCTAGGAACAGATTCTCACCTACTCATCATGGAAAAGTCTACTGCTCTCACTTCAAATGAAAATGAGATGAGGATGATGATGCACCATCGAACTGGAGCAACAACACATGATAAAACAATACATTTAAGAGTATACTTACATAAATACTGCATCTTTTTCCACAACAACAGCAGGAATCTTATAGGGAAATCCATAGAGTTCCTGAACTATGTATTTATATACTAAATCTATATTTTTGTTTTCTTTTACTGAAGTGTAAACAAGTGCTGCACCATCTGAATGAACACCGTTAAAGAAATTTTTGGACAAACTCCATCAACAGGTACCATAAAATTTTGTGTTCTCAGCTTAGCATTTATGCATATTGGTTTCAAAAATAATTTCCAAAGGTATAATTACATGGTAATCAAGACTTTCAAAACTATAAAATACTTATATACAGGCTAAGATGCAAATAAAACTATCTCTACATAATTGATTTAACTAAGGAGGGCAAAAATCTCATTAGCCAAGAAAGTAAAGGTAAATTTAATAACTGACACCACTACTACCTCTACATTTAAAGCATATGAAGAGGCAATTTATTTTTGTCTTTAACCTTCCTAAACTTCATGAAGGAAGGATATTATTTATCAAAAACTGTTTTGCCTTTTCAACAAAAGTGGTTTGCACTAGTGTCTCTCATAGTTTTTACTAGTCCAGGAATTAGGACTTTGGGGAGAAAGCTCAGGAGATCCACTGAACAGAGAAGATGAACCATCAAGAACCATCAGGAAGCTTTCAGGAATAATCCAAGGCAAAAGTAGACTTCATGACCAAAACGCTAGCACTAGCCATTGGGTCTCAAGAGAGATGGTGACTCAGACCAAGAGGAAATGCTGAGAATGGTCTAACTTCTGAATTAGGATACTCGTATTTTCTAGGACACAAACCAAGGCTTATGAACCTTAAAATGGTATTGGCTAAATACTACTTGTCGTAATACTTAATTTGGTAGAAACAAACATCATAATCTTAAGTAAATGCTTAATTGTGTGAACTTTTCATGAATGATCTTTCTCACGAGAGCCAATTTATAATTTGGAAGATTTACACAGCTGGAAAATTTACAATGCAATTAAAATTTTTTAATTTTTAAAATACAGATGATTTTGAATTGTTGTCCTCACTGACACACACACACACACACACACACACACACACCTCTCACTATCTTTTTTTTTTTTAATTTATTTTTGGCTGTGTTGGATCTTTGTTGTTGCATACAGGCTTTCTCTAGTTGCAGTGAGCCGGGGGCTACTCTTCGTTGCAGTACACAGGCTTCTCACTGCAGTGGCCTCTCTTGTTGCAGAACATGGGCTCTATGCGCATGGGCTTCAGTAGTTGTGGCTCACAGGCTCTAGAGTGCAGGCTCAGTAGTTGTGGCGCATGGGCTTAGCTGCTCCGCGGCATGTGGGATCTTCCTGGACCAGGGCTTGAACCCATGTCCCCTGCATTGGCAGGCGGATTCTTAACCACCGCGCCACCAGGGCAGCCCCCCTCTCACTACCTTTAAGTGATTTCTTGTTTTGTATTCTTTTAAAGTCAACCAGCTCTACTAAAGGTCTGTAATTATCGTAGTGGACAGTCTCCTTCCTGATTACATCTCTATAGGTACATTTCCAAGTGTAGCTTTAAATAAATGTTTAAAGAGACTGTTTGTTCTCAAATTTTCTAATCTACAAAGATAACAAAAAAGGCTATCAACACCTACTTCAATTACTTCTTTTTGTTTTCTTTTGCAGATAAATGCCCTTTAATTCAATCCAACTAACCATTATGTGACATGAGAAGAGAAAGTGCCATGGAGGACAAAGTACTGAAGGAAAAAGGGAAAAGGGAAACTCCCAGTGTCAAGTGATCTTATTCATTATTCAACGAGGCTCTTGTCAAGTGGTCCTTAAATTAAACGTCCATTAATGAAAAACTACAGATACTATAAACATGTGTACATTACTTATTCCTGTCTACTCCTACTACCTATCATTTCTTCACTTTTCAGACCCAAAAGCTTTGACTGGTGAATGCAACTGCAAAACATCTGATCCAAGGGGGCAAGTGAGAGCACCTCTCTTCGGTACTCTCAAGCTGTTTGAAGTTTTCAACACGAAATTCTCTTAAAAGCATTCACTCATTTTATCCTTTGTTTAGTTGTAAATGTTATTCACTGGCTCATACAATCCTTGCAACCTAGACTACACAAGATTCCTTATGCTAGGTTTTTTAACCTTGTGATCATCAGAATTACCCAGAAAGCTTTTTTAAAATTCAGCATAGATTCTCCAGCCTCCCCTTGGAATGTTCCAATTCAGTAAGTCTTCTTAGATGGGCACAGCCAGATTTAAAAACCATTGCATTAGATTATAGTGGAGATAACATACTAAACAAATTAAAAACAAGAACACACAAACCCAAATATTGATCTTTCCCTGCCACCCACCCCCAAGAAATGAATACCAGTTTTCAGCGAGAATGTTTTCAATGCCAACTCATTAGAATTTTCTACATAAGTCTGATCATTATTTTTCTTAATCACAGTATTTTAAAAACAGCAAATCAAAGTTACATATTTCAATACTTGCTTTTATATCTCAAAATACCTAGATATAAATGATTTGGGAATTGAAATTTCCAACCAGAGGCAGGAGGAAAAAAGTTTATGGAATTTCTGAAGTCATCAATTTATTCCTTTACTTAAACAAACAAACAAGCAAACAGCTAAGGAACACTGCACCAATCAATGCGTTAAAAGGATACACTGTAAACAAAACTTCCGGATATGAGACTGAATAAAATCGAAATGCTCATCTCTGTAGTCATGTTCTTTCTCCAACACACTAATGGCATCACACTAATGAGTTAAAATAATTTTAAAAACAATATTAACTTTAAATAATATAATGATTTAAACAGTTCAACGCTGGGTGGGGGAATATCACAAAATTACCACTCTGATACAGTGATTGATCAGTAGAACCTAGAATATTAATTACTCCTATATGTCTAGAGACTTTTAGTTCGAGTCTTAAGACTAATGAATACTTTTATTTTTTTAAAAAGCTCTGATTTCTATGATATACTGAATGTGATGAGAACACCAAAGAGAAAGTTTTAGTACATAAAGGAATGAAGAATAACCGGACAAACTTATAATCGGCGGTCATACTTGCTAACTCAACGACTTATGTCCTAGAACAAAGTTTTTAAGATCTAAAATCTATTCTAGTTCTATAAAACACTCTGTATATCCAGGGAGTCTGCACCTCTCACTATTTCCCCTTTGTTCCTCTGCTTATTTGATAGCTCTTAATTGACCTTTCTTTCTTTTCTGGTGCTTTTATTCACTCTCACTTCAATTTCACCAACAGCAAAATAGGGGAATTACAGGCTATTTCTGAAATGTCACCTGTACAATCAATGAAACAATTCTGAATTCTGCTTGCTACAAAAAAAAGTTAGGAAAAAAATTAAGGCATGTTCAAACATCATGATATCCAAATAACTTCATCAAAACTTCTGTGAATTGAAGGTTATGAAATCTAAAAATAAACAATGTCCATCATACCTAATATTAGTTTGGGGGCAAATTTCATGTCATTTTTTTTGATATGTAATTTTTTGTTATGCATATATATAACATAGGACAGTCTCCTTAAATAAACATGATATAGCATACTATCTATGTTATAGAACACTGAGAGTAATTATATCAAAGTATTAAAGATACTTATATTATTATATTGTTGACTTATGACATTTTTGGTGAAGCATGATAGTTTAGTAAACTTTTTAAAACATTTTTAACTGAAATATGAGGATCTGGCAAGAAACCTAGTCTGAGTCTCAATTTCAAGCGTCTTTAAACTGAGTTGAACTACCATTCTTCATCTATCCTGAGACACACATTCCCCCATCCCCCCACACACTTTAAAAGCTCTTAAACTGAAGCAGAACTGACAGTGTCTTAGATTCTGTGAAATACTGTAGATGGTCTCTTTTGGCTTGAAAATTTTATGAATCTATGACTCATTTGATACTGATTCGGGTCCCCTTAAAGCTTGACATTTTTTCTTTGAAAAATAAAGAGCTTTTTATAAGGCAAGTTGTGGTGTAAAAACAGGAAAATATCTGCCAATAAACAGCTCTTTGCCAAACAAAATAAAACCTAAACAAACCACAGACAAAAGGATTCTATTGTAAGAGTTTAAGCACAGTTTTATGTAAAAGATATAAGTAACAATTAACTACACCTGAATCACCATTTGAAAAGCAGACAATAGACTGACTTAATTATTTTAAATGCTCCCCCCACATTCCTTTGTTATTGATAATTTTTGTAATGTTTAAAGTAAAACTTAAGCTATATTTAAAATTTTTTACCATTTTTATTCCAAAGGTGAACAAATTCCACACCCTCCTTCACTCAGATGTGAAAATTTTACATTACCAAAAAAAATAATTTTAGATCTCAAAAGCATTTATATGTTCTGTAATTATCTTAACTATTCCATGGCTTACACAGTAAAGACATACTACTTAGGACCAAATGGGGAGAAGATGAACTTTAAATTATTTTTTAAAGGAAATTTGATTGTATTCTAAAGTGTATACAGTGACAGAACTAAATTAACAGAATTTTTATAATAGTAATACTACCAGAATCTCTTAAATAAATAAAAGGCCTTTGATAACTGCATATCAACTTTACATAATGAGTATTGGTACATCTTTAAAATTAAGTCTATTTCACTTTAAGTACATTTTCTAATATCAAGATATTAGTATATAAAACTTACTGTGGAAAAATATTTTATTTTATGAAGTTGATAGTTTTCATCTTACCTGTAACTATCTCTACTAAACTGACTATACAATTTGAAGTCTAACTGGAATTCGAAAAATGAAATTTGATCACAAATTTTAGAATATCTGAAGTAACATTTTCTTTTAAAGAAAACTATGATTAAGTTCACAAAACAAATGTGAATATCATTCAATATTTTAAACTAGTATATCTACTTATTAAGAAAAGTTACCTAGGAAAACTAATGTATCAACTCCAAAAGGAGCCTAGAAAATAAAACAGTTGTTCATCCCTGGTTAGTATCAGTAGTAGAATCTGTAGGAAGCAAACTAACCTTTGTGCAAACTACTAGTACTGGAATGCCCAAGTTCTGTGTAAGTGTATCTGCACCCAGAGGTAAAACCACACTGTCGTCTTTGTCTTCCTGTGATGCGGTAGTTCTTCTCTGAGGAGAAGCTGGGAAATCTTCTCCTGGCTCTACATATTCTTGAAAGTCTCTAATCACTGAAAATCAAAGTAAATAATTTAATACATAGTTTAGAAATGGCTTTTTATTTCAGCAGGTAGCTTTTCTGCCATCTAAATACATATGTTACTAGAGTTCACACCTAGTCTTGTGTAAGAAACAAAAAGGTTTTGAGAAATCCAATTCAAATACAGTACAGAAACTCTGGACCCACATTAATTATCAGGAGGCAGAATAAAAACACTGAGAGGCTCCAAAGAGCGGGGTTCATTGCAGGCCTGGTTCAACCTGTGCAAATTACTGTGGGCAAGTCACAACTGAGCTCTGTCCCTCTACCCTCTCTAATTCACAAACAGCACTGAAAGGATAGAAGAAAAAATAAATATGGGGGGGGGGGGGGTTTCCACAATCTAAAAGACAGTTCCAAATGGCTTTCTAATATTAACTTCCTTTCTCAAAACCCTTTATTCAGGAGGTCTCCTCCTCTTTACCTAGGTGCAATCTTGAGCCATGTTTACCCTATAACCCCCATAAAAATTAGGGAGATATTATCAATACTAGTAAGTTTTTACAAATCGTTTGCAAAGTTGTCAAAACCTTCACTTAGAAAAAGTTAAAGTGGGAGAGGAACCAAGACGGCAGAGTAGAAGGACGTGCTCTCACTCCCTCTTGCAAGAACACCAGAATCACGACTAGATGCTGGACAATCATCGACAGGAAGACACTGGAACTCACCAAAAAAGATACCCCACATCCAAAGACAAAGGAGAAGCCACAATGAGACGGTAGGAGGGGCGCAATCACAAAAAAAGCAAATCCCATAACCACTGGGTGGGTGATTCACAGACTGGAGAACACTTATACCACAGAAGTCCACCCACTGGAGTGAAGGTTCTGAGCCCCACATCAGGCTTCCCAACCTGGGGGTCCGGCAATGGGAGGAGGAAATCGTAGAGAATCAGACATTGAAGCCTAGTGGGAATTGATGGCAGGACTTCGAAGGACTGGGGAAAACAGAGACTCCACCCTTGGAGGGCACACACAAAGTAGTGTGCGCATCGGGACCCAGGGGAAGGAGTAGTGACCCCAGGGGAGACTGAACCAGACCTACCTGCTAGTGTTGGAGGGTCTCCTGCAGAGGTGGGGGGTGGCTGTGGCTCACTGTGGGGACAAGGACACTGGCAGCAGAAGTTCTGGGAAATACTCCTTGGCGTGAGCCCTCCCAGAGTCCACCATTAGCCCCACCAAAGAGCCCAGGTAGGCTCCAGTGTTTGGTTGCCTCGGGCCAAACAACCAGGGAGGGAACCCAGCCCCACCCATCAACACTCAAACGGATTAAAGTTTTACTGAGCTCTGCCCACCAGAGCAAGAGTCAGCTCTACCCACCACCAGTCCCTCCCATCAAGCCTCTTAGATAGCCTCATCCACCAGAGGGAAGACAGCAGAAGTAAGAAGAACTACAATCCTGCAGCCTGTGGAACAAAAACCACATTCACAGAAAGATAGACAAGATAAAAAGGCAGAGGCCTAGGTACCAGATGAAGGAACAAGATAAAACCCCAGAAAAACAACTAAATGAAGTGAAGATAGGCAACCTTCCAGAAAAAGAATTCAGAATAATGATACTGAAGATGATCCAGGACCTTGGAAAAAGAATGGAGGCAAAGATCAAGAAGATGCAAGAAATGTTTAACAAAGACCTAGAAGAATTAAAGAACAAACAGAGATGAACAATACAATAACTGAAATGAAAACTACACTAGAAGGAACCAATAGCAGGATAACTGAGGCAAAAGAACGGATAAGTGACCTGGAAGACAGAATAGTGGAATTCACTGCTGTGGAACAGAATAAAGAAAAAGAATGAAAAGAAATGAAGACAGCCTAAGAGACCTCTGGGACAACATTAAACTCAACAACATTCACATTATAGGGGTCCCAGAAGGAGAAGAGAGAGAGAAAGGAGCAGAGAAAATATCTGAAGAGATTACAGTCAACAACTTCCCTAACATGGGAAAAGAAATAGCCACCCAAGTCCAGGAAACGCAGCAAGTCCCATACAGGATAAACCCAAGGAGAAACATGCCGAGACACATAGTAATCCAATTGGCAAAAATTAAAGACAAAGAAAATTATTGAAAGCAGCAAGGGAAAAATGAAAAATAACATACAAGGGAACTCCCATAAGGTTAACAGCTGATTTCTCAGCAGAAACTCTACAAGCCAGAAGGGAGTGGCATGATATACTTAAAGTGATGAAAGGGAAGAACCTACAACCAAGATTACTCTACCTGGCAAGGATCTCATTCAGATTTGATGGAGAAATCAAAAGCTTTACAGACAACCAAAAGCTAAGAGAATTCAGCACCACCAAACCAGCTCTACAAGAAATGCTAAAGGAACTTCTCTAAGAGGGAAACACAAGAGAAGAAAAGGATCTACAAAAACAAACCCAAAACAATTAAGAAAATGGTCACAGGAACATACATATCGATAACTACCTTAAACGTGAATGGATTGAATGCCCCAACCAAAAGACACAGGCTTGCTGAATGGATACAAAAACAAGACCCATCTATATGCTGTCTACAAGAGACCCACTTCAGACCTAGGGACACATACAGACTGAAAGTGAGGGGATGGAAAAAGATATTCCATGCAAATGGAAATCAAAAGAAAGCTGGACTAGCAATACTCATATCAGATAAAATAGACTTTAAAATAAAGAATGTTGCAAGAGACAAGGAAGGACACTACATAATGACCAAGGGATCAATCCAAGAAGAAGATATAACAATTATAAATATATATGCACCCAACACAGGAGTACCTCAATACATAAGGCAACTGCTAACAGCTATAAAAGAGGAAACAGACAGTAGCACAATAATAGTGGGGGACTTTAACACCTCACTTACACCAATGGACAGATCATCCTAAATGAAAACAAATAAGGAAACACAAGCTTTAAATGACACAATAGACCAGATAGATTTAATTGACATTTATAGGACATTCCATCCCAAAACAGGAGATTACACTTTCTTCTCAAGTGCGCATGAAACATTCTCCAGGATAGATCACATCTTGGGTCACAAATCAAGCCTCAGTAAATTTAACAGAATTGAAATCATATCAAGCATCTTTTCTGACCACAATGCTATGAGATGAGAAATGAATTACAAGGAAAAAAACATAAACAACACAAACACATGGAGGCTAAACAATATGTTACTAAATAACCAAGAGATCACTGAAGAAATCAAAGAGGAAATAAAAAAATACCTGGAGACAAATGACACTGAAAACATGACGATCCAAAACCTATGGGATGCAGCAAAAGCAGTTCTAAGAGGGAAGTTTATAGCTATACAAGCCTACCTCAAGAAACAAGAAAAATCTCAAATAAACAATCTAACCTTACACCTAAAGGAACTAGAGAAAGAAGAACAAACAAAACCCAAAGTTAGCAGAAGGAAAGAAATCATAAAGATCAGAGCAGAAATAAATGAAATAGAAACAAAGAAAACAATAGCAAAGATCAACAAAACTAAAAGCTGGTTCTTTGAGAAGATAAAATTGATAAACCATTAGCCAGACTCATCAAGAAAAAGAGGGAGAGGACTCAAATCAATAAAATTAGAAATGAAAAAGGAGAAGTTACAACAGTTGTTGAGAGTCGCCGGCTGATGCAGGGGACACGGCTTCGTGCTCAGGTCCGGGAAGATCCCACATGCCGCAGAGTGGTTGGGCCCGTGAGCCATGGCCACTGAGCCCGCGCATCCGGAGCCTGTGCTCTGCAACGGGAGAGGCCACAACAGTGAGAGGCCCGTGTACCGCAAAAAAACAAAAAAACAAAACAACAACAACAAAAAATTAGAAATGAAAAAGGAGAAGTTACAACAGACACCGCAGAAATACAAAGCATCCTAAGAGACTACTAAAAGCAAGTCTATGCCAATAAAATGGACAACCTGGAAGAAATGGACAACCTGGAAGAAATGGACAAATTCTTAGAAAGGTATAACCTTCCAAGACTGAACCAGGAAGAAACAGAAAATATGAACAGACCAATCACAAGGAATGAAATTGAAACTGTGATTAAAAATCTTCCAACATATTAAAGTCCAGGACCAGATGGCTTCACAGGTGAATTCTAGCAAACATTTAGAGAAGAGCTAACACCCATCCTTCTCAAACTCTTCGAAAAATTGCAGAGGAAGGAACACTCCCAAACTCATTCTTTGAGGCCACCATCACCCTGATACCAAAACCAGACAAAGATACTACAAAAAAAGAAAATTACAGACCAATATCACTGATGAATATAGATGCAAAAATCCTTAACAAAATACTAGCAAACAGAATCCAACAACACATTAAAAGGATCATACACCATGATCAAGTGGGATTTATCCCAGGGATGCAAGGATTCTTCAATATATACATATCAATCAATGTGATACACCATATTAACAAACTGAATAAAAACCATATGATCATCTCAATAGATGCAGAAAAAGCTTTTGAAAAAATTCAACACCCATTTATGATAAAAACTGCAGAAAGTGGGCACAGAGGGAACCTACCTAAACACAATAAAGGCCATATACAACAAAGCCACAGCCAACATCATTCTCAATAGTGAAAAACTGAAAGCATTTCCTCTAACATCAGGAACGAGACAAGGATGTCCACTCTCACCACTATTATTCAACATACTTATGGAAGTCCTAGCCACGGCAATCAGAAAAGAAAAATAAAAGGAATATAAATTGGAAAGGAAGAAGTAAAACTGTCACTGTTTGCAGATGACATGATACTACACATAGAGAATCCTAAAAATGCCACTAGAAAACTACTAAAGGTAATCAATGAATTTGGTAAAGGTTCAGGATACAAAATTAATGAACAGAAATCTCTTGCGTTCCTATACACTAATGATGAAAAATCTGAAAGAGAAATTATGGGAACACTCCCATTTACCACTGCAACAAAAAGAATAAAATACCTAGGAATAAACCTACCTAGGGAGATG